TTATGTAACAGATTACTAGTGTATCTCTTTTATTATTTATGCCAATCAGAAGTGTAATCCCAGATACAGGTTCTACTTTTGTTCACACAGATTGAACACAAAGATGCAGCAGAATGAGTAGGAAAAATTTAAAAGTGATGGCATTAGTTTAGTTTTGAAATTATATGTTTAAAGATCTTTACAGATCCTTAAATGGTAGCTTTTTAAGCATCTTCACAGAAAGGAACAGCATCCATGTGTTTTGTATTCATAAAAATCTTATTAAATTTAATGAATCTACTTGATCTTGTTTTTAAAAAGAGATTTTAAATATTAAATTATTCTTAGGAATTGCATGTACAAAGCCTCCATAGTTTCCTTTGATTCTTTTTATGCATATCAGAATATATGATTTCCAAAAGAAGTCTATGTCATTTGTAATTCTTGGTAAAGTATTTGTCTTCCTCTGTTATCAGTCCTGTACTAGCTTGGTAGATGCTTTGTAAATTATAAAGCAGAAGATAATTTTTTATTTGGATTACCTTAATATTAACTTTCCAATTAGGAAATGAAAAAAAATAGATAATTCAGCTGAGAATAAAATGTAGAAGTGCTTTAGTTTAAAATCCAGTAAGAACTGTTAATCCACTAGGAAAAAATCTGCTGCCACGGGATAGCGTTCTGCTTCAGAATGCAAATTTTGTTCAAACCAGGTGAAATGCAATTTCCAAATCCAGACTTCTCATATAGCTGGTTATTGCTCATTTTGTTTTGTCTGATTTGGGTGACTGCTGAGTTCTCTGGTTTCTTTAACCATCTGGATTTCTCTTTGTTCCGTGGTGTTTTTGTACTTCCTTAAGTTTGCTCTATGCCATACCTTTCTGAAGCCCTTTTTCACTGAATCATTCCTCTGCTACATTAGGTATGCTTATCTTCATGTCCTAAGTAGAAACTGTGAGGATATTCATGCAGCAGATACCTAAAAGAGTGGTTATGATTGAGATTTCAGTTATATGTACGCCTTAGATTTTTTGCTTGCATGTAACTGTCAGGGTACAGCTTGACTAAAAATTAGAGAGTTATGCTGCTTTTAGGTGAATTGCCCATATTTTGTTTGATATACCTCAGTGCTTTGCTTCTCTTGGAAAAATTAATGTCCAAGATGGTTTCTAGCATGTTTTACTAATTCAGTTGGACTGGATTTAAACACAAGAAAACTGTCTGGATTTGTACAGGTTAGAATCATAGAGTATTCTGAGTTGGAAGGGACCCCTGAGGCCTACTCTTGGCCCTGCACAGGACAGGCCCAAGAATCACACCATATATCTGAGACCGTTGTCCAAATGCTTCCTGGACTCTGTCACGCTTGGTGCTGTGACCACTTCCCTGGGGAGCTTGTTGCAGTGCCCAAACACCCTTTGGGTGAAGAATCTTTTTCTAATGTCCAACCTAAACCTCCCTTAACACAGCTTCATGCTGTTCCCTTGGGTCCTGTCACTAATCATCAGAGAGAAGAGATCAGTGCCTGCCCCACTGCTTCCTCTCATGAGTTCTCCCTTCAGTCTCCTCTTATCCAGGCTGAACAAGCTGAGTAACATCAGTCAGTCCTCATATGGCTTCGACTCTAGACCCTATGGGTAAAAGCTCTTTGATGGGTAAAAGACTCTCTGGATGGCCAGGACCAGAGACTTGTAGTTAATGGAGTTAAATCCAATTGGCAGCCAGTCACTAGTGGTGTTCCCCATGGCTTAGTACTGGGGCCTGTCCTGTTTAACATCTTTATTGATGATCTGGATGTGGCGATTGAGTGCACCCTCAGTAAATTTGCAGAGGACACAAAGTTGGGTGGGATTGTCCCTTTTTTTGAGGGTAGAAAATCTCTGCAGAGAGACCTGGACTGACTTGATCAATGGTCTGAGTACAATTTCCTGAGGTTCAATAAGATGAAGTGCCAGGTCCTGCACTTGGGGCACAACCACCCCATGCAGTGCTACAGGCTCAGGAAAGAGTGGCTTGAGTGTTTTGCATTGGAAAGGGACTTGGGAATGTTGGTTGACAGTCAGCTCAATATGAGCCAGCAGTGTGCCCGTGTGGCCAAGAACGCCAGTAGTGTCTTGGCCTGTATGAAAGGATAGTGTGGCCATCAGGACTATGGAAATGATCATTCCCCTGTACTTTGCATTGGTGAGAGCAAACCTTGAGTACTGTGTTCAGTTTTGGGCCCCTCACTTCAAAAAGGACATTGAGGTGCTGGAATGAGTCCAGTGAATGGCAACGAGGCTCGTAAGAGGTATAGAAAGTGTGTCATATGAGGAATGGCTGAGGGAAGTGGGTTTGTTTAGTCTTGAGAAGAGGTGGCTCAGGGGTGACTTCATTGCTCTCTACAACTACCTGAAAGGGGATTGTAGAGAGCTGGGGGATGGTCTCTTCTGTCATGCCTGCAGTGAGAGGACTAGAAGGAATGGTTATATTATAAGCTGGGGAAGATTCAGATTAGATGTTTGGAAAAATTATTCATTGTTAGGGTGGACAGGCGCTGAACTAGATTGTCTAGGGAGGTGGTGGAGTCACCATCGCTGGAAATACTTAAGATGTGTCTGGATCTGGTGCTGGAGGATATGATTTAGGGGTTACAGCGCAGTGGCAGGTTAATGGTTGGACTTGATGATCTTAGAGGTCTCCTCCAACCTTGATCATTCTGTGATTCTATGTATTCATTGTTAGGGTGGACAGGCGCTGAACTAGATTGTCTAGGGAGGTGGTGGAGTCACCATCGCTGGAAATACTTAAGATGTGTCTGGATCTGGTGCTGGAGGATATGATTTAGGGGTTACAGCGCAGTGGCAGGTTAATGGTTGGACTTGATGATCTTAGAGGTCTCCTCCAACCTTGATCATTCTGTGATTCTATGTGGGTTATTATGTCATCAAAGGAAATCAGATTTGACAAGCAGGACTTTCCCTTCATGAAGCCATGCTGGCTGTGCCATCCTCCAGGTGTTTTTCGATACCTCCCAGGATAATCTCTATAATTTTATGAATCACTGAAGTGAGACTAATAGGCCCAGGGTCATCCATCTCAAAAATTGGGACAACGTTACCCAACTTGCAGTCAGCTGTGATACAGGATATAGGAAAACAGGATAGACAGGTTAGGAACAGAAATGTTTGAACTCTGTAAAAAACCCCAATCCAAACCAAATAAAAACCCTAATCAACTCAGGACTATTTTCTGTTGTGTTTTGGTTTTCTTTTTTTGGGAGTGCAGAGGAATGTATATATAAGGTTTTGCACAGGATGTTTTTTTCTGAAAGTCTGATTTTCTTCCAGTGCTTGTTTGGAGTCTTAAACAGTTTGTTACCAGCACATTTTTTCCAGGTAGTTTTCACACTGCCCAGTGTACCTAAACAGAGAAAGACAGTGTTAGAACCTCCTGTTACTCATGTTGACTAAACACTAGTCATCAATTAGATTTTTCCTGCTATCATTTTGTCTTTTTGGTGTTTCTTTGATTTGTGCATAGATGTTATATAAATAATCATTATGAATAATTTAATTGGCGATGTCAGCATTCACGGATGTCTCATACTAATCCATGCACACATAGCTGCTTTGTAGTTCTGTATAATGCAGCAATGTGTTCTGAATTTAACAAACTAGCTTGTTTGCATGAAGTCTTCTTAATGAGCATTCTAAAGAAAGTACTAAAAATACAGGCAAGGAAAAAGCACAGATGCTATTTCTAGGAATCAGTGAAATAGAGTCTTTGTAGTCTGTTCCTTCTAATAGTTGTTTTTCCTCCTGTAGAACTTAACTAAACAAGCACTTCTTGGATCTGCAGAAAACAATGGAAGTGGACCAGCCTCCCCACAGGTATGAGAGGGTTGTTTCCTCCTTCACTGCTGTGCTGTCTTTGTGTTACATTGGCTTAAGCACCCAGTATATATTTTCATGCTGGAGTAGTTTGCCTGTCAGGATACTGGGATGTTTTGTTTGCATGTAATCCCATTAGCTGGTATTAAGTGCTGTCACTGGTGTGTGGAGCTTTTTTTTATTAGCAGGTTATCAGACTGCCTGTGTTCAGATGCATCTCTTGCATAGCCAGCATGGGAGCACTAACATCACTTTCAAAAGTACAGGGCATATTGAGTGGCTAGAAAGCTAACTTCTAGTTGAAAGAAAAGAACTGACAGGCTTAAAAATACTGTCACTAGTGGTAAAGGTGGAGGTCATTCTTTTAATATGTCTTAGGAAAAGTTTAGCTTGCTGAAATGGGATTAGCAGTGGCTCCTGGCACGTGCATCCCAACATTTGATTGTAGGAGCAACATTGTGCAGTAATGCTTTCAAGTCACTCCTGTAGCACTGACAGCATGTGGTACCATAGCACAGAATCTTTTGGTTTAGAACAGAGTAAGTACTATGGCTACACAAATTATTAGCTTCATTTTATGTAAAAAATCATAAAGCCATTTAAAATAAAAATTGAAAAGGACTGTTCAAGATGGCATGCTGGAACTGACTATTGTACAAGGACAAATTTGCTCCTTCACTGTAAGAAAAGATCTTTGTGTCTTTGAGGTAAATACAGTCTTCTGTGTAATACATCAAGAAGTGAGTCACACAATTATGTTTTTTGAGACAATAGTAAATGCAACTATTTATATTAGTTACTATTCTTCACTTTTTAAAGGGATTACACAGAAATACATTCTTTAAGAAGTTTAAATCAGAGCTGTAGTTTTTTTGATTTAGTTGCTGTCTGAAATTGCCAAAGTCTGGTGGTTGCATGCTTGAGTTTTCTGCACAGAGATGATTCTTTTAAGGGAGTGGTAGCTGCTGCTGTTATGCATGTGTCATTTCATTCAACATTCATTGCTCTGACCAGGTCAGGTCCCTCTTTCCTGGGCTTTAGTGTGTCTGTCTGCCTAAAAGCAATGCAGAAGTAATTACTTGCTTTGAATTTTTGCAGCAAAGCGACGCTCAGTCTTTCGCCCAGAGGATTCAGCTCCGAGTTCCTTCCATGGAGTCTTTGTTTCGAAGCCCAGTAAAAGAAGTCCTGTTCCACTCTTCTTCTAAGGAGTCTCTGATACGAAGTTCTTCAAAAGACTCACTAAATCAACTGGACCTGGATGCCAACAGTCCCACCTTTGATTCACCTTCTGACACTGAAAGTGAAGCAGAAGAGTCTCTGGGAAATATGGACAACCTCAGCAAAGAGCAGTTGCTGCAGCGACTGCGCAGAATGGAGCGCAGTTTGGGCAACTATAGGGGAAAGTACTCAGAGGTAGGCAGTGTTGTGACTGGCTTACCTGGGCAGAAAGGGGAAAAAGATGAGGATAACAGATACTGTAGCAGTTGATAATATTTTTGGTTTCCTGTCTGGACAAGTGGACATTCCTGTGGGGCAGCTGTCTGGGATGTAACTTTCTGATACCATTGGGTTTTGACCTCCTGTATTGAAGCATAGGATGTCTTCTCAGCGAAGGGAGAACTGTGTGTGAATGCAGAGTAACATCGTTTTGTCATGTAGGCTTGCTTTTTTTAACACATGGGAGATATTTTATAGATGGGAAAAGGAGACATTGACAAAATTTAAGTACGTTTCTGTCAAAAGGTTTCTCAAGTGAAGTGAAGAGTTTGAAAATGCGGATAGTGATACAACTAAGCAAATGATCTAAATAGCTGTAAGCAGATGCATTATCACCACTGTACCTGGTTTCTATGTTTCAGCTAGTGTCGGCTTATCAAGCTATCCAGCGGGAAAAGAAGAAACTACAGGTAAGCATTACTTTCATCCTCTCTTAACTGAATGCTTTTTTTGAATCTTAAAATGTGTAGTGCAAATACAGATTTAATTTCCAGTGCATTGTGTGTGCATGTATAACAAAAGATTCTTTCTTAGCTGGGATTTCTAAGGAAGCCAAGCTTATATTGATTTGTCAAAGTATCTGTGATGATACTGTACTCTAGCCATTTTTTTGCATCAGCTGAATTCAGGTGATAGATTGCTAACCCACGGTTGGCAGTTTATGATAGTACTTGCATATCAAGCATGACTTGAAAGAGAAATAAAAATTATTACATCTTCTGCTGAAATACAGTTCTGTGAATTTATTTATGTGTTTTAAAGTTACATTTAATACACCTGATGTTTATTCTTCATTTTTCTTAAGGGCATTCTGAGTCAAAGTCAGGATAAAGCACTTCGCAGAATTGGAGAACTGAGAGAGGTAATTTTCTTTATCGAGTTCATGTTTGCATTATACCACACCTACACAGGCTCTTTCTCTACCTAGCTTTTAAATTTTTTGTTCACTTCACCGAAGTATTTTCTTTTACACAGCAGGGGGTTTTTACTGTTTGTTTTCGTTTGTTTATATGGAGTTAATCCTCTGGCTTAGTTCCCATTCAACACCTTATTACTATGCTCTTAAGATAGAGCAGTGCACCATACCAACTGAACTACTCTTCTGTGTGTTGTGAAATAGGCAGAAGTGTGTGTGGTTCTTGCAGTAGTGTTGGGCCCAGCTGTAAAAGTCCTTGGGCAATTTGTTGCTCTTCTGTTACTGACACATGCTAATGTTAGGCAAATACAAGTAATAGGTACTTTTTAATATATATGGATATATAAAAAAATGATATATATGGATGAAGTAAAGTATTCAGTATTTACAGTGCATGCATGAAATGTGTGTGGTTCTGGGTCTCTCAATAAGAAGTTAGATGTGAATTAAGTATATTTATTTTCAATTAGGACAGTAATTATTTAAAGAAATTAAAATATTTGAACTATAGACGTATAGGAAGTAAATAGAAGAAACCTCCCTCAGGCAGTATGTCATAAGACTGTGTAGATCCTACTAATGCATTTAGGCAACATCTACAAGTTCCTTAGGGTGTTGACCCAAGCAAATGCATGTAAGTATGAAGTAAAGCCACATGGTTAAATCATTTAGCATTCTCTGCATTTCTTGTATGAGACACATTTGAGGAATAAAAAGACCAATTTTCTTCTTAACTTTATCCTTGTATCCTGGGGTCACAGCTATGAAGAAGTATTTTAAATATTATTTAATAATAGTCTGATGAGCCTTTTGAATTCACATTTCAGTTTTCATTTGAAATGTGTTTATTTTCAGGAACTCCAGATGGATCAGCAAGCCAAGAAACATCTCCAGGAGGAATTTGATGCTTCCTTAGAAGAAAAAGATCAGCTTATTAGTGTCCTGCAAACTCAGGTAAGATACTTTACCCAGCAGATGTTCTTTAAAATTGCTCTTCTTACTTTTTTTTTAAAAAGTTACGTATTTCCTATAATTCATATCCGTGTTTTGTTGTAATTGCTGTGAAGTTGTAAAACTTCTGGAGAATTTATGATTATCTAGAAATGAGGTGCATCTTTGTGGTAGAGGATACCTTTGTAAAAATTTCACTCATGTTAAATATGAGTGATTGATTTGCAGTGATAAATACCTTTGTGATGTCTTTGTTATCAAGACCATAACATTGGCAGGTGTCTGAGCTAAAATTGTTTTGCAAAATTGGTGTGCTTTTGCTTAATTGGGCTTTGTGTCTCTACTCATAATAGTACTATTTTTGCTAATTGGAACCATAATTCTCATTTTTAAAAAATAGTTTAAAAAATTAGATTTTTTTCTTTTTCTCCTTGCTAATATCAATTTTATTTAGCTCTCTCTAATTTTGAAGATTTAAACATGATCTGCTTAGAATCCTTGAGGTTCTTTAACAAAAAGAATGTTTTGTTTAGGTGTCGTTGCTGAAACAGAGGTTACAGAATGGTCAGATAGGCACTGAATTGCCTGATCAAAATGCCCAGTCTGAATCACAAGTTCAGTGTCCAGTGAAAGAAGTCAGTGTGGAAAATATTGTGGAACCAGTAAGCAATGGTAGGTATTGTGACTTTTTCAAGAGATCTTGTATTTTGGGGAATAAACTTGCTGCTATTTATGAGGGAGTAACAATATCTAGGGCTGAAAATGTCATAGTAAGGATAGATTTTCTAGAAGGAGACAATTGTTTAGACAACAGTGTGGCAGCTAGAAGACAGAATAACCCTCATAAGTTACTAAATTTTCGTAAGAATTCAAACCTGGTATGTCTCTCCTTTGCCAATATGGATAATAGTATTATAATTAGTGCTTTGCTAGTAGGTGTTTCTACTACCCTTGCTTAATATGACTAAGAGAGTCTGTCCCACATAAGCAAGGACCTATCCCTGGAGTGCAGAGAGGAGACTAGTTGCTGGTCTCTCTTTATTGTTTGTGAGTTTGGTTGGGGTTTTTTTCTTTTGCTTTCTCAGGAAAAAGTAAAAGCAAAAATTAATTTTGATATTCATACTATAGAATAACCTAAGTATTCTTCACATCAGGAGGTTACTTGAGTTAATGGAACTCCCAGTGTTGTGTATAGTTGATTACTGAACAAGAGACATGGTAATGCTGATATGTAATGAAGTGTCATTCATTGGTATCCTTCATGAAAAGGGGAAGGTTCAGACAGTGAACATGCATCTTGAAATTATATTTGGCCAGCATCTCCTATGATTTTTGTGTGTAAGGATTATATGAAGGGTTAGATCAGAGATGTTCTTATGCACTACCATGTGTTTTGTAGTGCTTAGGAAATAATGTAAGGTCCAGTCCCTAAGAATCAGGGTTCAAGATGTTTCCTGTGCTGGAGTCTGCTTCTGGACTATAGTGTGTAAGACTTATGGTTGTGAACCGAACCTCTGAATTTGATAGTATTTTCATGTCGAGTTCTCTTGCAGCCTCCGGAGCATCAGAGCAGAAACATGCAGCAAAATATTACCCAGTGTGCTAGTTATACAGAGATTCAAACTGAAAGAGAGTAAGTTGAGATTAGATATTAGGAAGAAATTCTTTACTGTGAGGGTGTTGAGGCACTGGAACAGGTTGTCCAGAGAAGTTGTGGATGCTCCATCCCTGGACGTGTCTAAAGCCAGGCTGGATGGAGCTCTGATCAACCTGGTCCAATGTTCCTACCCATGGCAGGGGGATTGGAACTAGATGGTCTTTAGGGTCCCTTCCAATGCAAACCATTCTATGATTCTATGAGTACAGCTCAGAAAGACACTAAGCATAGCCTTTTTCCTGCCAGATGTACTATTGCCAACATGGATATTTTAGAATTAACGTCATACCAAGCCCTGGGAAACCAGGAATCTGTGTGCTTAGCACTTAAGAGATGTGATTTGCTTTGCTTCACGTTTTTTTTGCCTGTACATATTCTGTTAGTAGTAGCAGGCAGGTTTATAAATCAGGATGACTTTTTGATTGCTTAGAAAACGTTGTTAATTAATCATTTAGTTTTGAAGCTGATATAGTAGTAACTGGGGCTTTGTAAATTAATAGGTGCAAAAGACTGTGTTTACTACTCTGTGTATATGTAGAACCTTTCTGGCAATTACAATAGGTGATAGGAATTTTTGCAGACTTTGTGCAACTTTGTCTTCAGAGACCTGTGGGTCACCCGCATTGTGAGTGGTGAATGCAGATCTGCATTCTGGAAATGACATACATATGTCATGTTGGTATCTTGTCTTGTAGAGGGTAACGAAGATTTCGTTAATACACTGGAAACTCTTAATCAGAGAGTGAAACGCCAAGAGAACTTGTTGCAGCGTTGTAAGGAGATGATGCGGTCACATAAGGAGCGCTGTGCCCAGTTAACCAATGAGAAAGAGGCACTTCAGGAACAGTTAGAAGAGAGGCTTCAGGAACTGGAAAAAATGAAGGTATGTTAAATGCTCTTAACTTTATGGGTAGCTATGAAATATAAAGAACTCTGGTATTTCCAAAATTTATTAATGGGGCAGACCGTGAAACAAACTGTCCCTGTAATTTTTTTGAGATCTAAGGTGCAAAGCCCACCTAGAAGTAACACACTGAGCCATTACTCAAAAGGGATAAAGTCGGGTATGAAACCTTACTGTGTGAATAATGATCAAAATTGTATCAGAAGTAAGTAGTTGTGGGAAATTGGGGTGAGGAAAAGACTGTCTTAGCAGAGAAGGCAGGAAGTAAAGTGAGAGAAGTGGAGCAGAGCTAAACCTTTAATACATAACATCAGTTATATAAATTAGCAGAAAACACCAGACAAGTGGAGATCACAATATAGTGAACATAACTGCAGTCCTAATGGTAATAAATAAATATTTTGCTCAATTTTCCTTTTAAGGCCATATGTGCCAAGCATGGAGTAGAAGTAAGGTGGCTGATTGTAATGGAACCATGAAAATGTGCTAAGAATAGCTGTACTCAACTTTAATTACGGAGATCAGATTCCCTTCTCTGTCTTGGTCTCTGAGCACTAGCCCAGTTTGAAAGAGCTCTGAAAGACTTGAGTGTTTTAAGGACCTTTTCCAGAACAAAGCCAGTAATGCTGCATTGCTGAGATCCTCTTATTAGCTGAGATGCAGGTAATAGAGCAGGTGCCTTAGGTATGTTTCTTGTTTTACTGTAGCAGCTCAGACATCCATGAGAGAACTATAGAGGCTGTAACAAAGCCTTCAGATACCTGAATTATTATAGAAGCCATGAGGCTGCCTAGCACTGGGGGATTGAAAAGTAATTTAAAGCTGCCTACTTCAATTTCCCTGGATTCTGTTCTGTCTTCTTCCTCCAATGCATAGTGCAGGGGAAGAGCCAAACCTAAGCTGTTTGTCAACCAACTTGTGTTTGGGGCCTTTTTTTTTTTTTTTAAGGACCTTCACATGGCTGAGAAGACTAAACTGATTACACAGCTGCGTGACGCAAAGAATTTGATTGAACAGCTAGAACAGGACAAGGTAAACAAAACTGTAGGTTTTGAGCAAGATTGTTTAAAATGTGAAATATTTGGCTGCTTGATATTAGAAGCTGTTCTTAGTGGTCTGATGTGGTTTGGTTTATGTTTTAATAAATAATTTAATCTACCTGAACATTTTATTATATATATAATATAGGGTATTTGTCTGTTAGCTTTTACTTAATACTGCAGGATGATGTTATTTAGGGTGGTGCAATTATACTGAATACACTCCTGGAGCCCAGCTTTAAAACAAGTAAAAGAAGCCCCAAACACCAATGAAGATGAGATACAATTAAATGCATTTAAAAATGACCAGTGAAGGAAAAGTAACTAGTTTCTTAGAAAGACAAAGAGTTTCTCAATTTTTTTGCTCATTAAAGTTGGGGTTTTTTTTTTTCAATCACAGCCTTAGTACTAGAAGTAATTTCTGATGGTGTAATTACTAATGTGACTAACATTGTGTGTATGTTCTCTAAGGAGAAGCACGCACTCTCCAGTGCTTTTAGTTTGGGTTTGTTTACAGAATGCATGCTTCAAAGTAAAGTATCTGTACCAGAAAGAGGAAGTTTTTGGGTGGTCCTCAGTTGCTGGATTTCTTTTCATCACTAATTTTGAATACTCTTCAAAATAATCCCTATTCTTGTCTTCTTTTTGTTACAGTTTTCTGTTTTCTGACATAGAAAAATACCATGATCTCTGCTCTTGTAGTAGTAGACTAAAGTTTACTCCTGACAAGGGTTGTGTCCTGGCTTGAAGTTGTTTCAGCTATATGTTTTATTTATTTGCTAGCTTTTTATCACAAGGACCTTTTCCATAGGGCATGGTAATTGCAGAGACAAAGCGACAAATGCATGAAACATTGGAAATGAAGGAGGAGGAGATAGCCCAACTTCGTGCTCGGATCAAACAAGTAACTACCAAAGGCGAGGAATTAAAGGAACAGAAAGAAAAATCTGAAAGAGCTGGTAAGAAATTCTAGAAATTATTAGCTTTCACGTTTAAGCATCAGAAAGCTTCAGCATGGTCTTTTTGCACTCTTTCATCTGTTGTTTGGAATGGATATTAGAGATGCTCTTTTTCCTGATTTCTACATATCACCCTTGCTAGCATCATTACTAACTTGGCTTCTGGTCAGCAGAGTTTAGGGATTTTTTTTTTGTCTGGTTTGCCTCTTGTTACCAAGTAACTGGAGTTAGGAAGGAAACTGCTGAAGGACACCTATGCTTTTCTTTTTGTAGGAGAAAAGGTTGATAGAGTTTTGTTCTGGTATAATTTCAGAAACGAAACTCGAAACTACCCATGAATTGTCATTATAATAACACCAGCATTTTACATAGAAAACATAGCAGTGAGTGTATAAGAATATGTGAAGAAGTAGAATGAAGTGTTACAACCATAATAAGCATTTTCTTTCAATAATTGTAGTAGAAGTGTTTCCGATTTCTCTTTAGTGAAACAGCAGTGATGATTCCTTGTGCTTCAGGCTTGTAATGTATCATTTATGTAACTTTACATGCTGCAGTTTGCTTTTGATGGAAATTAGGTAACATGAATTATATGTACCTGCAGTTTTCCTTTTGCTTGAAATGAACTTTCTTTTTTAAACAGTGAAATTGTTTTGTACTATATCTATCAGAATTCATTTAGAATAATTTACTTTGTTCTCCTAGGCATGTAGAAGTTCACTCTTCTAGCAGAGGCTCAGGTGTGATTAGTTTGCATAAAACATTATACACATTTTCCTCCCCTAAAAAGTGATGAGGAGTTCAGACAATGCAGTTCCTAGTGGTTTATTTTTAATCTACATAGATTTAGATCAGAACTTGCAATTTTAAAGCTTAGTTTGGGTAGATCATTCTACTGCAGGTTGAACATCCATCTTGTGAAGATAACAGACATTTTGATTAGGTGCCTTCCTTTCCTACCCTTTCAGGTCACATGTGTCTTTCTAGCTCTGGAAATGCATACTTCAGAAGTCAGTCCTGATGCTGAAGTTTTGTGTAGTACTTGGAGACTAGGAAGCTTTTCTTCATGATTGAAAAAAAACCCCTGAAGAATCTTTTTAATACTTCTGTAGATGTGAAGTTATTACCATAGTTGTTTAAAATTCAGTGTTTTTTGAGGCACTAAAAACCTCTTAATTATGAACTATTATCTACACACACTGCTTAATACAGTAATTTCGTCAGGTTTGCCTAGCCAGAAGCTGGGAGACTAGGAAGCTTTTCTTCATGATTGAAAAAAAACCCCTGAAGAATCTTTTTAATACTTCTGTAGATGTGAAGTTATTACCATAGTTGTTTAAAATTCAGTGTTTTTTGAGGCACTAAAAACCTCTTAATTATGAACTATTATCTACACACACTGCTTAATACAGTAATTTCGTCAGGTTTGCCTAGCCAGAAGCTGAAAACAGGTTATAGAGGATGCTGTGGACACTTGGAAAACTGACTTATTTGAATGAGAAGTAATTTAATTTATGATTAATGTGTTGAATACACTATACTTTTCTAGGGGGAGATTTGTATGTACTTTTGGTAGTTTTTACAGTGCCCAAGTATTACCTTTACCTTTGAGTGTATTTATTTTTGTACTCTGTTAAGCATGCATATATAAATGTTTGAACCCTTGGAAAATTATTCAACACTGTTTCTAAGACAGACAAAATTGTAAAGTGACCTTTATTAGATGTTTCTATTATGCCTTTGGCGTAAGGCATTCCAAAAAAATGTTGTGACAGACAATGGAAGTGTAGTTCAATACATCTGAACTAAATTGTTCAGGCTTTTGAGAAAAACACCATGCGTATTGTGAGAGCCTGAAATTGCTTCGAGGTCTCAACCTTTGAGTTGTACCAGTGTAATGAATTTGGCAATTTCGTGTATTTGAGGTTAACATTTAGAATTCTGGTTTTTGAATAGTTAATGAGAGATGACTTTCACAGAATCACAGAATGAGTAAGGTTGGAAGGGACCCCAGTGGGTCATCTCATCCAACCTCCCTGCTCAAGCAGGGTCATCCTAGAGCACATTGCACAGAAATGCATCCAGAAGGTTAAATTCTAGACTTCTCTTTCTATATTGTGATTTAGTAAAGAACTGACTTTATAGAATGAAGGAGAAACATGAATTTCATTTATGTTATAGCAAAATAAGGATAAGCATAATACACTCGGAATTTCATAGTGCTATGTTGTAGATTAAAAAGTGGTTTAGTTTTCCACTTTCTTTTTAACTTGCCTAGTGTTACATGTCTGACATTTTTCTTTGTAATTCAGTGACTTTAGTGAATTGCTCCAGTGTTTGATTTAATGTTAATGCATTTTAGTGTACCTAAATAGTGAAAATATGTGTATGCATATTTTTTGTTGTGTTTTGTAAACTGTAAATTGGTCTCCCAAGCTGAAGTTCATTTTTGTAGTTAGAGACACATTATGTTGAAATCTCACAGAGCATCTTGTTTTTGTGCATCCACACATGCCAATAAGTGAATCATGGTGCCTTTCCCAAGCCTTGTATGAACAGGACTGGGGTAAGGGCTCTGTTTTCTTATGTCACACATTGGGTGCTTGAACTGATCTCTAAAAAGTAAATTCTCTGCTTCTCAGGCACTTCTACTGGAACTAACTGCAACTCTTTCTTTTTTTTTAATGCTTTGCAATGTACATAGAATATTTACATTTTACTTGCACAGAGCTCTTTTGAGTATTTGTAAATTCCACTGGTAAACTGAAGTTTGTTTCTCTGGAGACTACCTGGCACAAGTCCTTTATGACTTTATGATGCAGATTATTGACTTATTTATATTCTGTACAGTAAACAAAAGAAGTCTTTAGCAAACATTGGTCTTGCTTTGTCATTCTTTGTAGGCGACATTTCTTTTGCAAGCTTAATTAACGTACACATTGCACCTTTTGCAAGCTTAATTAACATACACATTGCACCTTTCTGCAGACAAAAAAACAACTTGGGCTGTTCGTTTAAAATCCTGCCTAGATGCACTAGTCAGCTATAGGACATTAATTCAACCTTTGTTTCTCAAAATTTTGACAAGATGCCTGCTCTCAAACCTCAGAAATAGGATGTGTAAATCCCTCCTTTGCCACCCAGTTTAGTTCTTTCTTCACGGCTTTTAACAGTAGATGGCGATAGAGTTGAAGATAAAAGGTTTGCGGCGCTGATGGAGTAAGCGAAAAGCCTTTGCAGCACGGACTGATGTTACGCTGGGTAGGAAAGGCAAGGCAAGGAATTCAGACTGGAACTTTGGACTGGTGTGTCTAAAGCAGTCAGCTCTCCAGCAAATGTTTTATAAAGATCAGTTTTGCAACCTTGCATTCCTGAAACTCAGCTTAGGCTCTTTATTATTATATACTGCACAGGAAGGTTTTGCAGTTTGTCTGGCTTAGTCATATGAATGGGGTTTTGCAAGACTCACCTGGCTTGCCACTGTGCCTTTGTGAGACTTGATTCAACCAGTACCTTGGTTGAAAGACCTTCCCTCAACTATAGCACTGCAGGTTGGAGTAGAGTGCTGGCAGAGCCTTTATTCTCTGCATTCAGAATAGATGTATTTAAATAAAAACATGGACTTTTATTCCACACTTTTATACGTGATAGAATTAAAATCTTCCACAGATTAAAAATAGCAATAATAATGGAGACCATATTCTGTCTACTTGGTGACAGTTTAGCCCTCTGCTGATTTGAAACTTGGTTGTGTCAGACTATACTAGAATTAACTACTTTGAATAAAAATGTTCCGTTTCGCTTTAGTGCTAAAAGTGCCTGAGATGCATATAATTTAACTTCTAGAGAGCTAAGTGTGTGTCTGTGAAGTGTTGCTTCTTTGTGCTTTCATACCCTCTTGGCTTTTTATCTGTTAGCTTTTGTATTAGCATCCTGCTTGTGATTTAGTGATGCAGCTGTTGTACTGCATGTTGCTCAGCTACTCCATATCAGTAGTCAATCCTAGCGTAAACCTGGATCTTCCCTTTGGCAGACTTGTGGGCTATGGCAAATGCATTCTCTTTCCTTTTGCAGAAGTAACAGGTTTCTCAAATGAAAATAGAGTACATGGTGCTCAGAACAAGAATGATAAAATGTGTATGGAAAAGTGAAATCACTTAATCTTCAAGCTATTCTTTGTAAAGATCTATAGGGAGAACTGGACTTTTTCGAAAAAAAAGTCCTCTATGATGCTGTAATTCTGAAAGACTTGACTTAGCTATTTTTGCTTGGCTGTGCCCTCCGTTAGGGCTGAGAGGGGCATCAGGGCAGTCAGTACCATTCTGCAGACACAGTTCTGCAGGCTCTGTGTTCATAGCTGAGTTGTGTTCGGGGTGGCAAGTGGGGACAATTTGAGTCCTGCGCATTGGAGGTGCCAAATGCTGTGATGGGGGCTGTGAGGAGCTATAAGCCTTGTGCATGCTTGTATTATATTTTAGACCATTTCCTGTTTGAAATGATATCTAGAGCTCTCAATTTTTTGTAATAGTTTTGGTATTTAAGCAGAGCCAGGAGTGAAAAAGTGGATACAATTGTGGGCTTGGCAAAGTGAGTAACAACCCTGTTTTGCCTTAAAGCATGATTGTTGCTGTGAGTAGTCAAAGAAAGGCTTCCTCAGAAACCAGAAGAAAATTCTGGAAAAGGTCAGAATTCAGGGGAATTTCATGGAATTAAGTTACTTGAAAACATATTTAGAGCATTGTCTCAAAAGTATAGATTGCAGTTAAAAGTTTCATTTTTTAAGTTTATCAAAAGATGTGGAATGGAAGTTGTTACTCACTTCTCAAACTCATGCCTGAATGTTATTGATAATTTCAACAAAGCAAGGATTGCAAGAATTGCTGTGAATGCCTAAGTGGATCAAAGAAACTGAACATGTGTGTCTGTTGCGATTTTTATTTAGGAATAGAAATAAGTGGAAGATAGCTGAACGTACTATATAACACTTAAAAATTATTTTGTTCTCTTCCCTCCCAGAATAGAATCCAAGTAGTCTAGGGTGTCATAGAATAATGTACTTTTAGGGGGTTGTGCTCTGATAAATTACAGTCTTGATATTGGGACTGGTTTTGAATTTTATAGAGATGTTTTACCAAAGTTGTGTTATGCAAAGCATTAGCCATGTAGTAGAGTGTTCTGAGACTGAGTTTTTCTTTTATATGCAACAGAGATTTTTCCACATTCATGACTGATTTAGGAAAAGAGATTTCCTTAATTGTGATCAGACTCTAATCTCATGTAGATTCTGCCATCAGGTTTAGTGAAGAACTCAGATATTGGTCTTGAATAGTAATAAACAGCTCACAATACAGGATATTTTTCATTTTCTTTTTCTATCTAAATTTTCATCGATGAGGTGAATAAAGTATGCTAGAATCCTTCTCCTTAGTATGGGATGAAGGTGTGGAATTATTGCTTCTGATTTGTAAATAAAAACGTGTTTCAGCAGATTTATGCATCTTATGCAAGTGTAAATAAATTTCATCACAGCAGCATGAGTGTTCTCTTGACTATTCAAGTTTTCTTGGAGCATATCTTTATTTTTCATGTTTTATTTTTGAAGTCTAGAAACACAGGACAGTCTTCTTAGTGTGAAAGCATTTTCCACTGCCTCTGAATTAATTATTAGTGTGCATTAAATGTAAATAGTGAAATAATGAAATTAGCAAAGCCATCTCTGTGGACTTTATGAAACTTACAGCTTAAACAGAAGATACTTCAGGTTTTACAGTTTGTAATTAACAACTTCTAGGTGAATAAAGGGTCTGGTATTATACTTCAGTGTCCTATTCTGGAAGAACTCTTTTTAGGATTCACTTGCATAGAAGTCAATCTTGGTTCATGTATGTCTGCTTGTTTTAGTGGAAGAGCAACTTGTGAATTGCCTTTTCTTCATGCAGCTGTTTTCCTCTCCTTCAAAGTTACTCAGCACAGATAGGCAGAAGAGGAGACATAGTTTGTTCATTTGTATGGTTTATGTATTTTGTAATGCTTCTAGGGGAAGAAATAGAAGATACAAGATGTATTGGAAGACATTCATAGCTATTTGGTCATTTTCTTTCCTTTCTAGATAATAAACACCTGTGAATTCTAGATGAATTCCTAAGTTGATTCTTCTTTTACTTGTGTAGTTCTTCTGTCAAAGGGCATGGATATTTCTCAACTATTCTGTACTTTTTTTCTTGGCAGCTTTTGAAGAGCTTGAGAAGGCTCTAAGTATTGCCCAAAAGACAGAGGAAGCACGGAAAAAACTACAGACAGAAATGGATGAAAAAATTAAAGCAGTAGAGAAGGCAAGTGAGGAAGAGAGGGTAAATCTTCAACGGGAATTAACCAGAGTGAAACAAGAGGTGGTTGAGATCATGAAGGTAAAAGCTGAAACTCACCCTGTATTATTGGATTTTAACCTAATAATTCAATTACGATTAAGCTATAGTTGTAAAATGCATCAGTATATCAGAACTTTGTTCTAAGATATGTGCTACTTAATAAAGTCCCTAAAAATTATTTTTTGTGATTAAGGATTTACTTAAAGCAAAATAGGAAGCTCCTCAGATTTTTTTTCTCTAACAATTTAAAACCAGTGTGTTAGCAGCGTGTAAAAGTGAACAGTATTACTCCTTGTTTCACAGTATTTAATAAAATTATTTTTTAGAAGTGCAGTCAAAACTAAAGGGAGTAAGAAGAAGAGATTAATGGCAGTAAGCTTACAGATCTCCACCAGGATTTTGGGTTTTAATGCTAAGAACTTTTTATCATTATCTTAACCGAGTATGTGTAAATGTTAAAGAACTTGTTACCCAGTTGTTTGCTGGTTAAGAATTGCTAAAATTTGCTTCATATGGTGTGTTCAGGTAGGAATTGCAGGAGTACTGCCCATGCCTTGAAAAGCTGTAAATTTGAGTGCCTTAAAATTACAGTTCTTGTGTTGACATTTGTAATGGTATTAATTTTTCTAAGAGAACACTCTGATGCTTTAAAGGGATGGCTGATGTGCTTTACATTATTCTTAAATAAAGTACATATGTAGAGTGTAGATAGCTGTCTCCATAGGGTATCGCCACTTGGCTTTCTGGCTCATGAAATAACAAGAATACAGGGAAAACTACAGAGAGAAGTTCCTTTTCCAGTGTATTATCATGTTTGAACTGGAAACACTAACTTTGCTTTGGTAGAATAGTCTTTAGGAAATACGGTGTTTCTTTTAGTAGAACTGCGAAAGACTTGAGAAGGAAGATAGATATCCTCAAGTTTGAAAACATGAGCTGTCAGGGCTTAATATTAAGCACTCCAAGTGACTGTTACTTACTCAAAGGGAGCAAAGAGATGTTTCTGGTTTCTTCTCTCTCTTGCATTGTTTTTCTTATTAAGAAATAATATCAAGTGTTTTGTTACTTAATATTTTTGAATTAGTTTTTTCTGACTTTGATTCACAGAAATCTTCAGAGGAACGAGTTGCTGAACTAGAAAAAATCCATAAAAAAGAAATGGCTACCAAAGATCAGGAGCTAAATGAGAGATTACAGGCCCAAGAAAAGGTGTTCGAGGAGAAGATGAAGGCAGCTCTTGTAAGTAAACCCAAAATGCATAAAGGCATTTCTTTTGATCTTATTCCATAGTGAGAACCTTTCTGCACTCTAAGAGAGAAGTGTTCTCCAAAAGTCAAAAAGCTCAGGGACTTCAGCAACATGAAAAGAAATTGGCAGTAATTATCCAGACTGAATAATGATAATTTATCATTATCATTGCTCACTAACAGCTGCTTCTTATAGGAAAGAATTCCTTTTTTGAAAATTATCTTTGTTTAGATGTGTTTTTTTAATTTCTTCATTTGGATCACTGACAATTAGCCACAGCAACTAGAGTAAAGGCAGTTCAAAAGCTGAGGCTGTTATTTGAAAAATGTTGGTATCATTATGTCTGGTTGTGTTGTGTTATGTGAACAGGGCTCATTATTGATAACATTTGACCTCAGAAAAGAATTTTCTTCTAGGTCAGACTGGGAGAAATCATTGGAATTCTTTGCTCTTTTTCGTGAGCTATAATCCACTTAAGATCGACACATCATTTTACCTAACAAATAGTAGATTCATTTTTGTGCCCCTCCATGATGGATGGTGACTAGGACTGAGGGACTGTCAAAAGTCCTTCCCTGACTATATTTTGCTACCAGTTTCTCAGGTTATTTTCTTAATTATAAGGATCAGAAGCTTAAAAGTACATGAGCAGTGGAATTGAGGGGAAACAGACCTTTTTTCCTCTAAGATGTTGCTCTTAAAAATCGTGGTCAACAAACCAAAATGAAAGGCTGGATTGCATTTTTTCATGCAAAGAGAAGTAGAAAACAAATTGTTCCCAAGAAGAGAAAATGGACATGGTTTATTACAATTTTCTTTTCTCAGATGAAATATAAACTCTGTATGTCTGTGTAGACAAGTTAGTAGTGTATGACTCCTATTAACTGGTTTGAAAATATCCTGTCGTAATGTTTTTGAAGGTGTGATTACTATGTTTAGTTTATTTTTTTAATTGTACCTTTTCATGCAGGAAAAAAATCAGAGTGAGTGCTTAAAAACCCTTCAAGAGCAAGAGCAGCAAGAATCCCTAGCCTTAGAAGAATTGGAGCTGCAGAAGAAAGCCATACAGTCTGAGTGTGAGAAGAAAGTTCAGGAGAAGCATCAAGAAGTAGAGACCTTGAGAACTGTGAGTAAAGATTCTGAAAAAGTAAACATTTACAAGTAGTCCTTTCAGTCTGTGTTTAACTGTTTGGCAAATACGGTGGATTTATTGTGATTGGGTCATTTTTAATCCCACAGTGCTTCTTGTGGAATTAAAGTGACAGATGTTTAATGTATTGCCATGGTGTGCTGCAGCCCCTAGTTTTTTTGCAAGATTAGATGGCTAAATATAGAAATCAGTTCGCTTTATATCGTGGTGTGGGATATGAATTTGTATCCATCTACATAGTTTTTATGTGTGTTATACAAAAGAGTTAAACTTTAGGCTGTTTTAATCTGGGTACACCTACCTTACAAATACTTATAAGGATACTTGAGTAAGTAAAAAAATTTGTTTAAATTTTTGAAGTATCCTTGGCTCTATATCATGGGGAAAATTGTATTATCTGCTCATGCAAGTTTGTACATTATTCCACCACTGCCAGATATTAGTTTGGAAGTTATGTGTATAGAAGCATTTAAATTTTACAGTAGCATTTCCATGAGAGGTGGACTTAAGATAAATCAGTAGATAGGTACAAACTCCATAATACACATGTAGATTCCCAATATCTGTCATCCTATATGTTGGCATTTTAGCTTAAGAAGAAAATGTGAACGTATCTCTCAAAAATATAATGACTTAATTTATTATAATTAGTTGCATTTGTTTCAAGTTATATTGTGTATATTTTTACTGCAGTAAAATAGAAATCTCTTTATTAAATAACTCTGTAATGAAAGCAAATTTAGAACAAACTAGATGAGTGAAAAGGTTATAGAAAAAGCTGATATTCACTAAAAACAGTGGATTAAGTGACTTGTAGTTATGTGAACCTAGTAAGAATTCTTAGAATTTAATCACATTGTTACTTTTAGAATATTCATTTTCTCTAAAAAATATTCTTTTACAGAGGATTCTTGAACTGGAGAGTTCTCTTGCAGAGTATTCACAAGATGACAGAAAGCAGTCAGAGGAATTAAGTACTGTCATAGAGTCTGAAAAAAGGCAGCACAATAAAGAAATCAATGATATAGTAGAAAAACATAATAAAGAATTGGAAAACATGAAACAGCAGCAAGAGAAGCTTTGGACAGAAAAATTTGAAATTTTAAAGCAACAACAAATAATTGAAATAGAAAAAATAAGAGAGGAACAAGAACAAAAGATAGATACCATTTTGAAAGAGAAAGAAACAGTTTTCTGTGCACACATAGAAGAGATGAATGAAAAAACATTAGAAAAACTTGATGTGAAACAAACAGAATTAGAAGCACTGTCTTCTGAGCTATCAGAAGCACTAAAAATACGTCAAGATTTAGAACAAGAGCTCTCAGAACTGAATAGTAAAATGTCTGAAGCAAAGCAAACATTGGAAGGAAAGTTGGAAGAAGAGAGGAAACGGCACAATGAAGAGATCGAAACAATGTTAAAAGAGCATGAAATGTCAATTCAAGGTGTTGAGAAAGTACTCAAAGAGGAACTGAACAAGCTCAAGCAATCATTGGAGGAGAAAGACAGACATTTGGAAGAAATAAAAGCACATGAAGAGAAGCTAAAGAAATCTGCAGAAAGATCTGAAGCTGAACTTGTCCAAGTGTCTGCAAAGCTAGAGGAGCTTTCAGAGTCTCATCAGAGCACTTTTAGTGAGCAGGTAAAGATTCATGAAGAGGAATCTGCAAAGCTGCGGCAAAAGCTGACAGATCTTGAAGGTGAAAAATTGCAACTTAGTGAGCAGCTAGGAAGAGCTGGATCTCAGCTGAATGAAGTCAAGAATGAGTTACAGGCATGCATCTCTCAAGTGCATGATCTGAAGCAGCATTTGGAAGAGCAAAGTAATGAAAACACACAGAAAGTAACCTCTCTGACACAACAATATGAATGTCAACTGAAGGATCTACAAAGAGAGGCTGATGAGACAAAGAAAAGTCTAACTGAGAAGGAAAATGAAATTGAGCATGTGACAAAGTTACAGAACAAGCAAATGGAAGACCTTCAACAGAAACTGTTAGCTACAGAGGAGAGAATTAGTGCTTTACAAGGAGAGTATGAAAGTAAACTAAAATGTCAGGAGAAGAAAATGGAGAAAATTAAACAGAAATCAAAAGATATGCAGGAAACTTTCAAAAAGAAACTTGCTGAGCAGGAAGCTAAACTAAAAAAAGAGCTTGAAAACAAACAGTTGGAGTTAAGTCAGAAAGAGAGTGAATTCAATGCTAAAATGTTGGAAATGACACATGCCAACTCAACTGTAATCAATGATGCTGTGTCAACACTGGAAACTAATCAGAAGGAGCAACTAGAGAGTCTTGCTGAAGATCATAGGAGGGAGTTGGAAGAAACTATCCAAAGCTGGGAAAAGAAACTCAATCAGCAGGTTGAAGAGCTCAAGGAAAAACATGATTTGGAACTGCAAGAGAAAGAGCAGGAAGTTGGAGACCTGAAACAGAAGCTTGCCACAATAAGTGCTGAGAAGGAGGAGTCCAGAACAGAAGTAACCCAACTGAAGGAAGAACGGGTGAAAAGGGAAGAGTCCCTGAAGGAATTGCAAGAACAGCTAAGGCAGTCAGTGGCTGAGGTGAATGCTTTGTTAGATAAGGAAAGTGTCTTGAAAACACAGTTGAAAAAATTGGAAAGTGATCTTACAGAGTCCCTGAAAGAGCAGTCAGGACTTCAGGAACAGCTCAGTAAACAGAAAGCAATTGAAGAGAAGGACAAAGCCAAAATTACTGAGCTGGCTGATACACTGAAAACTCTTGAAGAGAAAATCCAAACTGTGCAATCTTCTCAGTGTAAAGGTCAGGAAAATTATGAGAAAAAAATAGAGGAAATTCAGCTAAAAGAAACTGAGTTAAAAAGGTTGTCAGGAGAACTTGCAGCCCAGTTAGATTCTTATTGGAAGAATGCTGAGGCTTTATTGCAAACAAAAAGCAATGAAATAATTGAAAAATGTAATGAAAAAATTGGCATAATAACATACAAAATTGCAGACTGTGAGCGCCGAACTGCAAAGGTCAAAGAAGCAGTATTAATCAGAACAAGTAAGATACCTGAACTAGAAGCTCAACTTCGAGAAATAACAGAGCATCATTCTGCTGCTACTGCTTCTTTGCAAAAGTCAATGCAAGAGCTGCAAGAGAAGGACAATTTAATTATGTCCATGAGAACTGACATTGCAGGACTTGTAACAGAAAAGGAACAACTGCAAAAAGAGGGAGGGCATCAGAAGCAAGCAGCATCAGAGAAAGAAACTTGCATAACACAGCTGAGGAAAGAGTTATCTGAAAATATCAATGCTGTCACCTCAATGAGGGAGGAACTCCAGGAAAAACAATCTGAGGTCTCTGCTCTCAACAAAACTATTAATGACCTCAATGTTAGACTTGAAAGCACAGTAAGTTTAACAGAGAAGGAAGCAGCCATGTCTCTGCTAAGCAAGCAACATCAAGAGGATCGGTTGCAGTTGTTAAACCAGGTACAAGAGTTAACATCCAGAGTTGAGACACTGAGTCATGAAAAAGCATCAGCTCTAGATCAGGTAGATCATTGCATGGCTGAGCTGTCTGAGTGGAAGACAAAAGCACAAACCAGTTTTACACAAAGTCATGACACTATTAAAGATTTGCAGAGCAGACTTGAAGCAAGCAATACTGAAACCAGTAAAAAAGATGAAGAGCTAAATAAACTGAAGGAGCAGCTGGCTAAACAAAGCAAGAGTCTTGATAGCTTAAAAAGAGAATTGGAACAAAAGCAAAACAGGAGGGAAAAGCAAGAAAGTGAGTTAACCTCAACGTTAAAAAAACAAGCAGCAAGAATTGCTGAGCTAGAAGAACATGTTGCTCAGAAAACTTCAGAAAATGATTCTTTGACAGAGGAACTTAAAAAGCGTAACGAACAAAGAGACGTAGAGCAAAAGGAGATAGCTTGGCAACTCCAGCAAGCAGAGAAGTTGGCTTTTGAAAAGGACAGTAGGTTTAAGAAGGCTGAAGAAAAAGTGCTTAATCTTGAGAAGCAAATAGCTTCACTGAAAGCTGATTCTGAAGCGAAGGAGAAAGAATTTGATAAAGTTAAGTCAGTGATACTTAAAAGCAAGGAGGAAGAACTCAAAGAATTAGAAGAGAGACTGAATACAGAGAACAGCAATAAGCTGGCAGATCTGAAAAAGAAGGCAGAGCAAAAAATAGGTTCTATTAGAAAGCAATTGATGTCTCAAATGGAAGAAAAGGAACAGCAATTTAAGCAAGACAGAGAGGATCTGTTAAGAGAGTTGGAACAGAAAGTGCAGGAGAGAGAAGCCAAAATTGAGTCCTTAGAAGAAAATATTAAGTCAACAAGAGAGTCCACAGAATTAGAGAAGGAAATGCTGAAAAAATTAGAGAATGTAAAAGCTGCTGTAGAACAAGAGAAAAATGACATGCTTGAGAGTGTCAAACAGACATATGTAGAGAAAATGCATGTGTTACAGAAGGACTTGACTGAAAAAGATGAATTATTACAGAAGTATGAGAAGGAACAGCAAGAGAGTAATAACTCTCATCTAGAACTGCAAAACAAACAGGAAGAACTCCTTAAAAAACTAGAAAGTGTTGAGAAGAGCCATCAGGAAGAGCAGAGTAGGACCAAAAACCTCAGGAAGGAACTTGAGGAGCAAACTAAAAAATACTCATTGTTAGCAGATGAGCATGCTCGCTGTGGTGGTGATTTAGCAAGCAGTAGGGAAGAATTAAAAGCTAAAGAACAAAATCATCTTGATATGGAGAATATAATTGGAGATTTCCAGAAAAAATTGCAGGAAAAGGAGGCAGTGAGTCAATCTTTAGAACAGAAGATACAAGAGTTAGAAAATAATCTAGTGAAGACAAGTGAAGTGCATAAGATTGAGATGGAAGATATGAGTTTAAGATATGAAGAAAAGCTAAAATGTTTACAGCAGCAGTTGGATGAAAGGAATGACAGTCTGAAGGCTTTTGAGGAAAATGCTGAAGAAAGGGCTAAATCTGGTTTGGAGCTGCAGAAGTTGCTAGATCATATGCAGAACCAGCAGAAGGACTTAGAGACTAAACTGGAAGAGACTGAGAGAGAGAAACAGAAGCTACGCAAAGAGGTGACTAATCTTCAAAAAGACTTACGTACTCTGCGAAAAGAACATCAGCAAGAGCTTGACATAGTAAAGAAGGAGTCCTTGGAAGAAATGGAGCAGAAAATCAGGTAAATTCTTTGTTTCTTCTTCGCTTTATCTCTAACCACTAAACCCTCAAGAATACTCTTTTAAAGCTCAGTTTGTAACACAGAAGTAATGTCTGGTATTTTTCTGTCATTTTTCTAAATAGACTTAGAGAAACATAAAGAAAAGAGATTTGACTTTTGGTAGAGTAATTCCACTTCCGGTGATTTTCAGTGCTGCCGAAGAATAAAAAAAATTTCTGTTTTTCTCAGACAGGAAAAAAAGTTTATTAAAACTTAGTATTGAGAGCTTCATGTTCAGATGATATCAAGAACTGTTCATATGTAATGCACGAAGTGTGGTACACTGCTCAGCACTGTAATAGTTTCTCAAGCAATGCGTTCCCTAAAAGTTCTGATTTCTTTATGGCACATTCTTTACTTCCAGGTCTTCATCTTCCTCCGCAAAAAGTCTGTGTCTTTCGAAAGGGTTCAATTCTGGGTTTTTTTAAAAAATAAAACGCCTATGCCTTCCAGGTGAATTAAATAGGAGGGCAACAAAAAGCCTCCCTGAATTTCACAGAATTCATGTAATTCAAAACCATCCCATTCTAAAATAGTTTTGGAGAAATTCCCACATCTCTTACCTTGTAAACTGTTTTCACAGTCTTTAAACATTTTGTTTCCTAGCTGTATTTTTTTTACATTTTCATACAGATGTGAACAAGAAGACATTGAGTTAAAGCACAACTCCACCTTAAAACAGCTAATGAGAGAGTTCAATACTCAGCTGGCTCAAAAAGAAAGAGAATTGGAAACAGCAGTAAAAGAGACAATCAGTAAGTGAAATACTAGTAGAACTCTAATCAGTAAAATAGTCAGAAAACCAAATCTTCAGTTGTTTAGGGAAAGGGGTTTTACCTGGGATTGTGACGAACACAAATCATGTTTTATGAATGCCTAGAGAACTCGAGGGAAGAACTTCTCTTGCTCAGGAAATAACACAAAAATATTAATTGCGATATGATTTGTAAAATGCATATGTAGCTGTTCTTCCTTCCCCTGCAGGATGGATCTTTGATCTAGCACTCTCTATCCATCTGTCATGGCAAGAGTTACCCATGATAGCCATAGGTACCTTTTTGTTGTATGCACAAAAATGAAAAAAATGAAAATAGGTTTTAGAGGTGGAAACACATTGGTAAGTTTTCATTGCAATGCTACATTGTCTTCAGTAGGACAAGCTCCGAACACTCTGTCACTGTTGTTGAATATATGGCACTGAAGGGTGTCTTCTAGAGAAGCTTAGATCCATCTGAGAATCAGAATTGCATTTTCTTAGCTGCATCTTGCAGACTTCATTCACTAATAGTTTCTGACTGGGTGTGATGTCTAATTGCAACTAAAGTACAGCGTATTTCAGCTTCTCTTCATCTTTAGCACCATAGTGTAAGCTGGAGATTGGAGAAATGAGTAAAAATATCTTTTGACTCCCTAGTTACTGAAAGTACCCCTACAGGTGAGGAATTTCTAAAGACTTGCAGATGTTTCAGTCACTTCTCTAGACAGAGTAGGAGATAGAATTAGTTGATAATTATTGACTTTTAGAAAAGTTCTGTCACCAGGTAGGAAAAAAATACTCCAGGTACCAAAATGCAGACAACAAACTTCATACATATTAGGTTGAAGTGACATAATAATTACTGACAGTGTGGAAAATGAGTTTTCCTGGCAAGTTTTACATAGAGATGCTTTCCACAGTTGCCTTTAAGCTTTTTTAAGTGCTATTGTGACATAATAAAGAAAAAGAAAAGCTTTTTTTTCATATTGCCTAACTTCTTTTTGTAGGTAAAGCCCAGGAGGTAGAAAATGAATTGATAGAAAATCATCACATAGAGACGACACAGTTGCATAAAAGAATTGTGGAAAAAGATGATGATCTCAAAAGAACTGTGAAAAAATATGAAGAAATCCTTGAGGTATCTTTTTGAAAAGTGATATGATTACATATATTTCTAACATTTTTTCATTGCATAGCTCTGCAGAAAAACTATAGTTCTTTCTAGTAAAGATCTTACTGCTTGAATTTGCACTTGATATGTCTGGTGATGTAGCTTGTAATTAAAATGTTTGTTTCTGTGTTTATGAACATGAAAGAACATCAGAAATTAATCTCTAGCTCTGATCATTAAATAAAAATTATATGGTTACGTCCTTATGTGCTTATGTTTCAGATTGGAATGAGGCAAGTGAGTGAAATTTAAGCTTTACTATGGTTGTGGTGGTGATGTGGTCTTTTTGTAAGAATTTAAATACAGTGTTTATGGGTCAGTCTCACTCTGTATCTCCTTTTGCTGATGCTCTGTCCGTACAGGTGCCATAACCCTTAAAGTTAGGTTCTGTTCTATGCAGGGTACAATCTGTTTGCATAGTTTTTATGCTAGTAAAGATTTCTTTTTGATTTGTAATGAACAGTTTTTCTTCATGGTTTTGCTCTAGTAGCATTTCAGCCAGAGATTAGCAGCCAATTTCAGTCTAAGAATGCTTCACCTTCCCAGGGTGCCTCCTGTTTTAGCCAAGTCCCAGTCCAGCATTTATGGCACCAAAAGGTTAAATGGTTTTCAGTGCTAGCCTATATATAATATTGGCACACAGGCTTTAACCTCATTAATCTTAGTCCAGTCTGCACAAGTAATGCAATAAAAGAGAATGTCCTATGAATAGAATCAGCAGTAATAAATGTAAGTGAACTTGTGTGTTTATGTGCAGTATCAGTCCAAAGATATATGTACTGAACATGTCTGTTTCGTACGAAAATTTCAAACTTGTAAGCAGGTTGGTGGTTTCCACTCTGAATTTTAAACTTCTAGCAGGATGGATGGAGTTGGCAGGGTATTAAATTTAAAGTCACCTTCTTTCATTTTCTAATTTAGAAAAATTGCATGCTATAATTATTTTTTTTTTGGTAACATGTCTAAGTTCTGCATTTCTGGAGAATTTAGAGTTCTCATATCTCAGTGTGTTGCCGTTCAGGTCTTTACTTAATAGACCCAAATAAGTGTGTGATTTGAAGTCATGCAGGTGTAATTGCTCTCTCTTTAGGTCCATACTTATGTCAGAAACACATCTGCTGTAGTAATTGTGTGGTCTTGAAGGTTTAGGCTAATTTGACTTCTGTTCAATTGGAGGACATGAACAGTGTCTTTTTTTGCATCTCATTAAGGATGGCAATGACAGTTGCCTGGAACAGCAATAAACTATAATTCGATATTTTAAATTTCAGAATACACATTTCTTTTATAGATATATGTGTGTTTGTTTCTGTTATTTTAGGGAATGAAAGAAAAAATAGAGATCATTTTATCTTTTTTTCTGAAAAAATATTGCAGATATGTCTGAAATTGAGAAGTACTCTTTGAACAATGTGTGCCATGTTTATTGAGATCTCTGATAGAAATAGGAACATATGCATCAGCAGATTTAGCCTTAAGTTACCAATTATTATCCCACTTTTGACTTGGCTTGTGATAGGTTTGAGAAATTTTGCGTGAGGACATTTGTTTAGAGTGGTTTCTCTCTGTCATAAGTGGTAAGAAGTTGAAGCAAAAATAAAGCTAATTGCAAGAATGAATCTTGCTCATATAACTTTGCAGCTCTTTGTTGCATTTTAAACATGATTGATGATGCTAAAATTTAGTCTAACACGACTGAGTATATATCCTTAAAGACAGGGAAGAATCATTCAGATTGTTAAGCTTCACATGATTTACTTGTAAAATGCTTCACTTTGCTTTATGCTGTATTTTCTTATGTTTCATGCAAACTTTCATCACATAAGATTTCATGAAAGTCTCCCTAATTAAAGGATTTTTTTAAATCAGCATAGCCTGTAATTTGGGGCCTAAGTCTTTTTTCTTCAACTGAAGTATGTAATTAGAGAAAAATTGAGTGTTGTGCTCCAGCTAGCTTATTTTAAGCCTATCTATGGACTAAAAATAAAATACTTAACTTCAGGTATGTATTCTTTCCTTTGTCGTAATGCCATCTATGTGAGTACAGGATAGGCTTTGTCGTTAAGATTTGGGGAATTATAACTTTATTGTAAAGTCTTGGTCAATAACTGTAATTAAATCCAAATAGCATGCTGTTTATTTTCAGAGTATGCCAGGTGCTATATTAAAAATTAAGTTTTTACTGTAAATACAGGTCAGTAGCACTTGATCTGTAATTTTTAAAATTTTAAATACTAACCTCTATTCAGGAGTTTATACAAATAATTGCTCAGAAGTATGTCCCTCTTACAGAAGTATTATTCCTCATTTTGAGTTTAATTTCTTTTCAGCCTTTCAGCTATCCCCTATGACTAAGAATGATTTGCATGCAATTGTGATTTATTTTAATTAAGCAGTAATTGTAAGATTTTAGATTCTTGAAGAACAAAAGCACCAAAAAATCCCCAAAAGCCAAAATAACAACCCTCACTGAATATGCCAGATATTGAGGAATTCTAACTAGAGTAGTATGGCCACATATATATATATAATATAATATCTTAGAAACTATTATTGATGTAAAAATATAGAAAAATCATGTGAATGAATAGAAGATAGCACTGTTTGCAGGTCATGGTGTTTGAGCAAGGTTTTTCTTGAAGGTGGATATTCTTAAAACTTTAAGGCTGTAAAAATTGCCTGGATACTGTGACTTCTCATTCACTAGCTTTTGGGGACAGATTTGCTTTATTTCTTCTTGGTGATGGTTTTTGGGCTGTGGGGCTGCGTGGGGTAGATGTTTTGTTCTTAAGTCAGGTGCAAGGAACATATTAAAAAGTGGCTTTACGGGAAAATAAAGTGGCTTTACAGGGAAATAATTCCTTTCTTTAGCAGTGGCATACCCTAAATCTATTAAGCCTGGATCAACTTTCCAGTCCTACACTTAGTTTTCTAGTGAATATTCTGTGTCACTGTAATCTGTGCTCCTGAGATTTCTGTTCAGCAGTTCTGTTCTTGTTATCAGTTGATTAATTTTACTTACTTGCTTTGAAGTACTACTGCATAGCAGAGCATCAGCTCACTGTCCTGTGTGGTTAGCATGAGTGAAAATAGATTTTTGGTTTAGTTCAGCAGTGGAGACATGCACTTGGAACTGGAATGCTGTTTTATAAGGTCCCTAACATGTTATCTCACAAAAAGGCCAGTGGAGACACAATTTTTAAAAATACTTGTTTTTGCAAAATGCCATATATAGGTGCATTAACTTGCTGGGATTTAGGCCATTGTATTCTCCTACACAGGGAAAGTTTGTTTCCTCCCTACCATTCTTGCCACTGCTTCTTTCCTCCACACAGCACAGTGCCTTCCAAACCCTTGTGAATGGAAAATGATTGTTTCTGAAAATGTGCTCAAAATTGCTTTAGTAAAATATTTGTGAGAGTGACTGAGGAGAGGATTTAATTCTTTAGCACTTCCAGAGTATAGGAATTAACTGTATCATCATCTGCCCCTTTTGTGCATGTTATGACCTTCACACTCTTACTGGATTATACCCGAATGATATTTTAATGCCCAAGAGAAATAGATCTTTTCTGTAATTTTTAAAGCCAAGTGTAATCCTAACTATGTAGTCTGTATTGTTGAGGCCTGTAAAAATCCCCTTAAGCACCTATGTTTGTGTCTTGCTCTTTCCTGCAGTCCTCTTGTGTAACCTGCTTTTATAACCAAATTTCAAGCATATTCTTTCTGTGTATAGCATAAATTGTGTTGATTGCTTTCTGTCCAGTGTAGTTCAGGTTTTGAGTGATTTATTAGGTTTTAGATGATTAATTGTGAAAGTAATTTTTTTTCCTATATTTTGAAGTCCCGTGAAGAAGAGATGACAGCAAAAGTTCAAGAGTTGGAGGCACAGCTAGAAGACTTGCGAAGGGAAAACAAACAAAGGATGGCAGAAGAGGAACATTGGAACAGTGAAAAAGTGAGCTGGCACCGTTATTTTTTATATCTTTATGTGTGAAATTCTGTACTTCATTCCTAATTGGATTTTATTTGTATATTTGGCCTTCACTTGCACATACAAAATAAACCTCTAGAATCTGCAGTATTTGATACTACTTTTTTTAATTGGGTTGTTAAAAGTCCAGTTTTGTTGTTACTATTAAGGCAAGGGGTTTCCCCCCTCTACATGTGGTTGTTGATTTTACTGGGAGCCCTTTAGAAGGAAAGGAAATCACATTAAGTAAGTTTTAGTGTGGGGTTTTTTTTTAAATTCAAGTGTCAGAGGGGTCTAAAGTAGTGCCTTAAATATATCAATTATGGACAGAGAGCCCTTCACTGACAGAAGACAGACTGCTTGCTTTTGTCTTTCTGAGACCACATTTTAGTTTGAGGAATTCCATGATGAAAATATGGCTCGTTATAGGAGGAGGACAGGAAAGTATATGAGTTGTTGAGTCATTTATGAGAATTCATATTGACCTTAACGTTTAAATTTTTCATTTTTACAACAGGCAGCACTGGGGAGACTGAATTTATACATTTGACACTGAAAATGTACAGTAGAAATTACCTCACTGTCCTTCTGCCTTGCACTTGTGTACAATACCTTTTATATTACTTTGCTTAACTATTCCAGGACATGAGTGTTGTTTTCACAACAGAAAAAGCAGAAATATTTGTATCAGAGTGCCTTGTATTTGTAATTAACCGTTGTCCACCTACTGATAATCTTACATAATCCTATTATCTGGAGGAAGATTCTTTAAGAGACTCCTAATTCCTAAAACATGATTCTGAAAAGCCTGAAGAGTACTTTATCTTTAGGACTTTTGTTAACTGTTTCACTGCTTAGTTTGTTGTAGAAGTCTGCTATAAATACAGGCAGGCATTTAGCATTGTATTATACGTGCATCTTCAAGACTGCATATTCACTGATAGGACATGAAAGTTATATCAAATCTATATACCAGCAATGGTATTTCATGTATTCCTCCGTTCTTGCCAGAAATGCATTGGATAGATTTGCAATGGGAGCATAGAGCTGTAACATATTTGAATATTGCAAATATCAGAGCTCGTTGTGAAAGTGAATCTGCTTACAATAAGCAAAATAAACAGTTAATTTTGCCTGTCTTGAAATCTTGTCCACACTTCTCCACTCCTTGGAGGTCTCCATGGCAGAACTTGGAGAAACTCAAAGGAGTTGTTCCAACTGTGGCTGGTATGAACCAGTTCAGAGAACTACATTGCTGATAAACAGCTTAGTTTTAAAGGATAAATGAGGTCTGATTTGTTGGGGTAGGATGACCAGGTTGTGTGGTTGTGCCTGCACTTAGGTACATCTAAAGCATCCAGGTTCAAAGTGCTTGCAAAATAACAATGGAGTTTTTTGGGGTAAGCTGAATATCCATGATTTCTCTGGAATACAGGCATCAATTCCAACTAAATTCAAATTTAGCAAATTGTTCACCAAGTTTCTTTGGAATAGCTGGTTTAACTGAATGAAAATCTCGTACTTGATACTATTGACAATGGTGATTTCATCTCAAAGCATGTGCACATAACTCCTGGTACATCTTCTGGTCCAGTCAAAGCTCAGATATTTAGAGTAATAGTAAGTGGGCTTCCAGTTCCTGTTTTATCTATATTTCAGGATCATTGGATTCTTAGACACAGTCTGTTCTGGGGTCAAGAGGTAGTTTGCTTTTTTTCTCCTTAGAAATTAAGAACTGTTTTTAATTCTTACCTGTCTTAATTTGTCTGTTGCCTGTCCTTGGTATGTGTGTAGGAAACTAGTTTTGGTATTAACTGGTACAATAGCACACATTTGGAATGGATATGATAGCATATATATGCAACATTACAGGACTAGATGAGAAAATTGGACAATGTCTGTGGACCTTATCAGCTTACTTTAGCAGATCTGTACAAATCCATGTGTAGACTTTACAGTGCAGTCAAATTAATTCAGTCATTTTCTATTTGCCATTCTATTTTTTGTCTCACCTTCTTTTTTTTTTTTTTTTCTTCTCCTTCAGCACTAGTAGTAAAACAGCTCAGAACCATTGACTGGAAGCAGCTTTTTGTAAGCAACTGGTAGATTTGTTGTCTAAACTTGGAGACTCCCAAATCACAGAAGTTTGTCTTATAAAACTTCCTGTGCTGCTTGTTGTCGTTCTAGGCCAAACATCACACATAGCATATCTGCTTTGACATGAGATGTACCTAGACATCTGAACAGTGTTTTTCTTACTGTGATAAACATTTGGCAGATAGTAACATCCTTAAGTATTTGGATGTAAAAAATGTGGGAAACTGTCTCTCTGTATGAGCAAATAAATGTCTGATCAGATGATTGAGCTCTTCAGAAGCAAGAATTGCCCTTAGAGGTTTGACATCCTTAGAAAAATGACTTTAATTCTGCTTGTGTAGGAAAACCCACAGGTTTTATCAGCCTACAGAGATGGAGAATAGCTCTCCTTTTTAACACAATTCCAAAGAGGCTTAGGAAGAAACAAGTAATATGTATGACTTCTGGATTCAGTTTCAGATTGCCTTAAAAAAGAATCACACATCAAGTATTTGATGTTAAAGTACACTTACAACCTCTAGTTATACCCATGACTACTAAAGAAAACCCACAGGTTTTATCAGCCTACAGAGATGGAGAATAGCTCTCCTTTTTAACACAATTCCAAAGAGGCTTAGGAAGAAACAAGTAATATGTATGACTTCTGGATTCAGTTTCAGATTGCCTTAAAAAAGAATCACACATCAAGTATTTGATGTTAAAGTACACTTACAACCTCTAGTTATACCCATGACTACTAAAGGACTATTTTCCTTAGAGTTGGAACACTGAACGATAGAAATTTCAGCTTAGATTTTTTTCTGTACTTCATAAACACCTTTGCAAGATGAGGAGCTCATGAAGCTCTTAAGCTGAAGGTAATTTCAGGTAAATGTTCAAATTTTCAAATGCAGCTTGAAGAATTAAGGAAAAGATGCAATGGTAAGAATAGTATTACTGTAGTTAGGGTATCATAGGATCTACTTCATACTCATTCAGTTATTATCTCCAATATTTCATACAGATTTGGAAATACTAGGTTCTTGAAGTTCTATTTATTATAATTGTCTTACAGAGTCAAATGAGAACTAAAATATAAACTTTATGTACAGTCAATACAAATAAGTTAAAATGCAAATATGTGCTGTCAATACAAATAAGTTACATAACATATAAAGTGTTTGTTTGATTTGCTCATTTCAGTTTTTGTCATCCTCAATTAACACACTGTATCAGAACTACATGATTGATATTTCTTTCTCCAGTGCTTTTCATACAATCTCCCAGTGTTTTTCATACATTTTAATCTAAATTTTTGTTGTTCTAGGTCACAATAACGGAACTTAAGGTAAGCCTTACATGTTATTGATTTTGCTCTCTAATACTTCTGTTTTAGAGCAGTTTGAAAGCTGAAATACTACTTTTGTGTCTTTAAGTTTGTGTGTTAAAAGGAGAATAGAAGGAGAAAAAGGAGAAAGAGCTTTATTGCAAAGGTATCTATAATGTATTTTCGGTAGTTTCTTGATGAATTCTATATGTGACTCTTTTTTCAGGCACAGCTTGCACAGAAGACAACACTAGTCAGTGACTCAAAACTGAAAGAGCAGGAGTTGAAAGAGCAGGTAAGGGTGATACTGAACAAGTAAAAAGTATTCTTGTTTGATTCTCTGCATTTGCAGTATTAAAAGATTAGTTCTTTTCAAGTGATGATGTGGTACATCTCCTACCAGGTACGAAAATAATAGGCATATCAAATAGTTTTCACTCATACTTGCTCTCAGAAGAGCTGTGTACTTTTCAAAGTGTTTCTCTGTCCCTTGAGAATGAAAGCTCCACATGCTTATGATACTGGATAGCAAAACATTTGTACAGTGAAAAAGGAAACAGTGCATTTCATGAAATTCTGGAACTTTTTTCCAAACTAAAACTTTTTTGATGGTAAAGTACAATTTTTGTCACGTGCTTTTTTTATGTATGCTTATATGCATAAAACAGACACATGTATATATGATACATGCATAACAGCTGCTATAGGTACTCTTACATGTATATACACGTGCACACAGATTTCCTTAAGTATTTTTGGGACAGTTTTGAGACCGTTGTTAATGTATTCCTTCCTTGAAAAGCAAATGTATCTTGCTTTCATAGGAGATGATGATGAGCTGAAAACTGTTTCAGTTACGCTTATTTTAGCTGCTTCTGAACACCATTTGTCATTTTGACTGTTCTCTGTTTAGATTCATGTACTGGAAGACCGGCTAAAAGGTTATGAGAAGAATATGTATGTCACATCAGTTGGAACACCATACAGAGGTAAGCGCACGGTTTTCATTGCAAGTAGGTTTTTCATTTGTTTGAAAGATACATTTGGTGGAAACAATTTATTAAAATCTCAGTCTTTTTTATAACACTCATATAATATTTTTATGACATCCTTGTTTTAGCTTGTCTGTTATAATAGAGTTGATGTGTGATTTCAGATGAGCAAATCACACAGCATTTTGTATGATGTTTAGTTTTATGTCATACATTTAAAAGAGCTCTATATTAATAGAATTCTTAAGCTCTTTGCAGTGCAGATTCCAAGACTATTCAGGAGGTAGGGGCAGAGACAGACACAGCTACAATGTCCCCTGGGCCCTTGGCAGGAGACAGTAGGAGTGAGGGTCCCAGAACAGGCTGGTCCCAGCCACTGAGGCCTGTGAGCACCCCCATGACTTTGACAGAAGTAGACTTGCATTGCACATGTGCTCTCCTTTAGACATTGATGGTTGGCCACTTTGAAGACACAGTGCTAGACCTTCTCTCTGGTGGTCTACTGTTGTTCCTAGGCTCTTTTGTTTTCACATGAGATAGAAAAATTGACAGAGAAATGAACAGATATTGCTCACCTCCAAAAGATTTGCAACCATTTAGCTGAGGAGCACATCCTGCATCAGACTGTGAGCTCAAACACTGACCCTCGCTAGTGTCAAAGATGTGGGGTTTTGTGGTCTTACAGAAACCTATCTCAACTGATGACCACAGAAGACTTTCAAAAACCACGCCACACTCGTTCTTTGCAAATATGTGCAGATGGTTCGATTATCTCCAGATGATCCACAGCTCTGACACCCCTCAGAAGGTACATGCCTTCTTCCCACAACATGACAGAGCCAAGGATTGGACATGGTTATGGGTATTCAGTGCCTTCTGCAGGTGCAGGGCTAGGAAGAAATGTCATCAGAAGTTTTTCCAGCATGAACTGGTAGGGAGAGAAGCAGGTAGGAAGAGGCATAGCACAGCATAGTTCAGCTGGAAGGGACCTGCAACCATCATGTGGTCCTACTGCCTGACCACTTCAGGACTGACCAAAAGTTGAAGGATGGCTTTAAGGGCACTGTCCAAACGCCTCTTCAACACTGACAAACATGGGGCATCCACCACCTTTCTAGGATGTCTATTCCAGGGTTTGACTACCCTCTCGATAAAGATATGTTTCCTCATGTCAAGTCCAAACTTCCCCTGATGGACACAGGTTTCAGCCATTCCTTGTGTGTCCTGGTACTACATACCAGAGAGAAGAGACCAGCACCTGCCTCTCAATTTTTCCTCTGCAGGAAGCTGTAGGGAGCAGTGAGGTCACCCCTGAGCCTCCTCCTCTCCAAACCAGACAAACCCAGAGTCCTCCGCTGCTCATCAGAGGACATGCCTGCCAACACCTTACCCAGCATCAGGGGTGCCCTCCTCGGGGTGCATTCACATACCTTAACATCCTACTTAAATTATGAGGCCCAGAACCACACACAGTACTCAAGGTGAGGCTGCAGCAGTGCTAAGTACAGTGGGATGATCACTTCTTTTGACCGACTGATGATGCTGTGTTTGATGCACTCCAGGATGTGATTTGCCCTCTTGGCTGCCAGGGCACACACTGCTGACTCCTGTTGCACCTGCTGTCAACCAGCACTCCCAGACTCCTTTCTGCAGGGCTGCAGTTGCTCCGTTCCAGGTGCAGAATCTGGCATTTGTTCTCGTTCAGTTTCATGCCATTGGTGAAAGTTAGATTCATACAAGTGACTCTTAGTATAAATATTCTCTTATTTTTGTTTACACAGATGGAAACCTTCACCGTACTGATGTTTCCCTGTTTGGGGAGCCCACTGAGTTTGAATACTTGAGGAAAGTGCTCTTTGAATATATGATGGGTCGTGAGACAAAGGTATGGACATTTGTATATGATGACAAGTGATTCAGGTTAGAGTACAGTTTAACCCCCTTGCTGGATAGATATGAAGTACCACGTGTTTGTGATTTGTTACATGCTGTTTATTACTGTGTCCTGGTTCTGGCCAGGACAGGGTTAACTTTTGCAGCAGCCAGGAGGGGCAGCTAGGACCCTGGCACTCTTCTGTACCACCTCACCTCCATGCACAAGGGATGGGAGGGGAGGGCTGCCTTGCACATTCTGTTGCTGTTCATGTTCTTATTTCACTGCTGTTGCTAGTAAACTGTTCTTATCTCAACCCGGGATCTTCACCTTTTGTGCCCCATTTTTTGTGCTTTATTGTCCCGCGGCAGGGGGAGGGGGTGGGGAGTGAGCAGCTGGTGTTTCAGTGGGAAGCACTGAATTGGGGAATACTATTCCTAAACCATGACATACTGACACAGGATTTGATAGGCTTTGACGTTTTTTCCCTGAAGAGGCGTGATCCATACCTTAAAAACTTTGTCAGAATGCCAAAATGAATGGCAGGGGAAGGGGATTGTTGCATCTCTCACCAGTGTACCTGCGAAGACAAAAACCTTTATAGGTAGATATGATTTTGTTACCAAAAGTCCTGTTGTCAGTCAAGCTTAATGTCCTGTGAAAGCTGATATGCACAATATTAGCAAAAGTGCTCTTATGATGTCATCTTGACACAAGTGTGGCAAGTAACAGTTGGATTAAATAATAGTTTGTTAGTAGCCCTGAGGATGGTGAAATATCTCTTCGGTTGTTGCCTAACAGTGTTTTTATAGGACTTCCAATTCTGTATACCTTAGATGGTATTAATTTGCTCTTAAAAGTAATGGAAAGCTGCTCAGTCGGCTTCTTGGTGTACACTGCAAGCTTGTGAAATCATTCCCAAGTTGGAATTTTACTAGCTTCTTACAATACTGGTGCTTAGAGATTGACCAGGTTCAAAGGAGATATGTTGTAACACAAACATTTTTCTTGGATGATAAATTGTATGTGAATGAATGTTTTTATTTGTTGGTTTGGGGTTTTTTTCCTCCTCCCTGGAGTTCTTCTAGTGTTGCCCTCCTTTCAACTAAAACTACTATAAAGCAAAGAGGTTTTATGTAGGTTTCTGTGTTTCTGTGTTAATTAGCTTTGTTCTCATTGTGCTCTGTACACAGAGCTTGGACTGTGCAGGACATTTTGTCCTTAGGAGATTCCTCTTTCTCTTTTTATCCCATTTCTCATTTTGATATTAATTCCTTTTTTATTAAAAATACAAATCCCTGATCCAAAAAACTGAGACTCACTAGTTACCTTCTGTTCACAAGCCTGTGGCTCGTTGGATGGGCCTCCTACTTCAATAACAAATGACTGAAATAATTAAAGAAAAATATGTACAGTAGTGGATTTTATGATTTTGAATTGTGAGTGACTTAGAGTGAAAAGGCTAAACTATCTGTCAGCAGTGTTTCAGCTTGAAACAGGTCTTGAGACAGCTGCAAACTAGTGCAGATAGCTGAGGCACAGAAAATTTTCATTCAAGAAAACCTAATTTGAAACTTCTTTTTCACTCATTATCGCTGATCATCGTACTGATCTTCAAAACATTGCTATACATGTCTTAAAACTTCGGATTAAAAATTTTTGCAGGTTTTTTTTCCCTTTTTAACAGTGTTTTACTAAAATTTGCAGTTGATTTCTTCAATAACTGCAATAAACTACAATCAGCGCTGAAGAAAATTGACTTTAGGTCTCTCTTCTATATTCTTTCAGTCTCTTCAGTTTTGCTTCAATTTAATTGCATCTGCTGGTTTTCTTTCAATCACTACATGTGTTGCTGGAAGACACTGAGCTGAGTGTCTGCTCTCATCAGGATTATATCATATAATCTTAAATTTACTGAACTGTGTTTTGAGAACAGGTTTCATCCTGCTACACTGACTGGAAAACCATGAGCAATGATGATACAATTGATAACAATCTTTTAACACACAGTCTTACACGTTAGTAAAGAATTAATTGGCTTTTCTTCCCCCCAGCACAGTCCTTGAATTAAAATATCCATGTCGTGATTTATCTCCTCAGGGCAGATATACATTTCTCTTAGCTTTGTTTTCCTGGACCAGAAGAGGCGCTTTTTTTTTTTTTTTTTTTTTTGTCTTGTAAGGTCGTTCTAGTGGCCTTCCTCTGTTCAGGATCTCCTTTTGTAGTGCAGATATGTATGCCATGTCTCAAAGGTGGTTTGGCAGTGGAATTGGTGATCTCTATGGACATTTACTCTCTATTGAAAGGAATTCAGAAGAATCTGTACAAATTATCTAGGGTGGACTGCCATTTATGCAGCCTAGTAAATGATCCTGGAATGGTATTAAGTGGAGACATTAATGAATGCACTAGTTATGTACTAGTGCTGGATACTTAAGAGAAATGTGGAGAGTTGATATGGGTCTAAGAGTCAGGAATTACAGTCATAATGTGTAACCTGTAACCTGTCACATTCTTTGTAAACTGCTTGACCAAGGGGTATCCATTTCTTTGCTGTGATATTTTACTATCTTGCCCTCCAGTCCAACTTTATTTTTTTGCCTCTTGGTTGGCAGGATACATGAAACAAGACTGCCAGCTGTTTCTTAGCATTCAGTGTGTTCAGTACACTGTCTTATTTCAAACACTATCTGTTTGAGCAGATACCACAGTAGCTGAGGTTTGTGACAATATGAAATGATGAGCCTTCATGGTTTTCATGTAATTCACATAATATGTCTCTACAGTGTGGAACAAACAGTTGCATCTTACTGATTTCACTGTTTTCCATTGGCATTGCTAAAAATAGTATCCAGCATTCTTAAATAAAATGCATTTTAAAATACTGCAAAGCATTTTCATGCAAAATGAAATTGCTTATAGATGACTTGTATCATTCTAGACAATGGCCAAGGTTATAACAACAGTGCTGAAGTTCCCTGCAGATCAGACTCAGAAGATCCTAGAACGAGAAGATGCTCGACCAATGGTAAGTTATATAAGTAAAGGTTATGCAGGAGGATTAGGTTTCAAGAGTAAGGAATCTGAAACTTTTTTTAGGTCTCCTTTTCCCTGTGTCTACATTCAAGTGAACACCTTTTCTTCCTCCATTCCTCTTCTTTAGTGGAATATCAAATTCCAGCTCTAGGCTGAATTTATAATGAAAGTGAGAAAAAACCAAGCATATTTACAAGCATATTTTCTTTACTATTTTTCCTCAGCAGTTAAGCCATATTTCTGATAGCAATGGATGCAACAGAACAAAGCGACTTCCATTAGCACTACTAATCTGTGGATTAGTTTTCTAATTAAAAAAGTAATCTGACACAAAATTTGTGTTTCTTAAATTCAGAAGTTTCTGTGGAGTCATGCCAGTTTTCATGAAAAATGTATCAAGAAAAATTTTCTAAGCCCTGGGATAAAATTTCTGGCAAAAACAGGAGCCATTTTGCTTGTAGAATAGAAAACTGATTAGCGCCATCATCAATGATATATGTTTGTCAAGTGAGATATATGCATTTTTATCTTAAGTGAGTGTCCCAACAAGCTTGGGGTTTTGTTTGGGTTTGGCTTTTTTTTGTAAGAGCCTGCTTTGTCTTTCTACTGAAAAACATGAAAATATGTCAGTTCACTCTGGGTCAAGACAGGTCAAAAGTAAGAGTTTTCAACACTTTGGTGGTGTTTTTTTCAAGTTTCAACACACTTACTATGGGACATTTCCTTGGTATTTACCAGCTTATCTATTTACTAGAAAGGTGAAATTGGGTTTGAGAATCATAGAATCACAGAATCAACTG